CCCCCCCCCCCCCCCCCCCCCCCCCCCCCCCCCCCCCCCCCCCCAGTTGAGTGACAAGACAGACACGTTTGTTTGCCTTGCCTTCTCCACGCCAGCTGCCGCTACCGTCACTTCCGTCGCTCCCGCCGCCTCACCGCAGCACCATCCCCCTCCCAGAGAGGCGCCATGAGCTCCCGCCGTCGCTCGGCTAACAGCCCCAACAATGGGGCCTACCTGACGGTTGCCGACCGGAAGGTACGGTGTCAGGCGTCTTTCTCTCCTACTGACTGCATGAGCACACACACACACACACACACACACACGCACACGCATGCGGACATGCACACATCCGAGCGCACCCTCTGTCCGTTGTCTGACTCTCTTCCCACCTGCTGGCCAGAATTCCGACAAGAACCGCCAGAAGAATCTCTTCAACAATGACACCAGCGCCATCTCCATCTTCGGCGGGGACCATCCGATCAACAACTTTGCCCCCTCGCAGAAGATGATCGACATCAAGTCCATCGATGAGGAGCAGCTTCGCATTCTAATCGATGGACGGACGTTCGATGCCGGTGTACGCGCGCGCGCATGCGATCATCCTCACCTGCGCCCCCCACCCCCTCCCCTCGCTTGAGCGAGTTTCAGCCCGAGGCTCACGACCACCTCCCCTCCCCCTCCCCACACCCACCCTGTCACAATCACAGTATCTCCCCCACAAGCACACCACTCCCATCGAGGTGCAGATTTACATCCGCCCTCGTAGCTTGTGTGTGCTGGATAAGAAGTCCCAGGTGCGCATCTCCCCCCCCCGCCCCCTCCCCCTCGCTGGGTCCCCCTTTCCTCCAGCCAGTCTCATTCCCTCCCCTTCCCCCGGTTCCTGTGTGCTTACGTCTCCTCTTCTTCGTCCCCCCTCCCCCCTCGCCCTCTCTCTCTCTCTCCCCCCCTCTCCTCATGCGCGCAGGTGGTCCTGGACGAGTTCGACTTGACCCGTATTCTGCAGTACTCCTTCAATCCCACGCAGTCTACCTTCTCCCTGTACTACATGAGCAACGATGACGGTTCTCGCTGCGACCGCTATGTCTTCCGCTCGGAGCATGTGCGTCTCTGCCATCCTGTCATATGCCTCCTATGTGCACCCCTTACGCCATTCGTTGGTTCCCTCCTCTTTGTCGAATGCTTTCGCTGACTTCCCGCTGCTTGCCCTCCTTGTCAACACACGCACACGCACACGCACACGCACACACGATCCATCCCCACCCGGCACAGTACTTCGCCATCCATGAGTTCCTCAACATTGTCATTCAGCTGGTGCTCCAGTCGCAGCAGGCCATGGTGCCAGATGGCGCACAGCCGGCCGCCGGATCGGGTGCCGATGCCGAGGGCGGTGTTGCCCAAGCCGAGGGCGCCCAGCCCAATGATGGCAGCGGTGCTGTCACTGCTGTCGCTGCCGCCGCCGATCCCAAGCTGACCGATGAGGCTGGCAGCTTCTTCCCCCCGGCCGGTGACATGCCCGTCCCGGCCGCTTCCTCAGCCGCCGAGTCTGCCGAGTCAGGTGCGAATCGGCTCCTCGCCATCTTTGATCCCCCTCCCTCCACTCCGACCAGTCCTGATGGCGGGTCCGGGGCAACTCCAGCAGCTCCCACTGGCGATAGCGAGGCCGCCAAGAGCAAGCTCGTTTCGGATGCCACACTCCAGCGCTCGCAAAAGACCAAGGACTACTTTGAGACCCGCTACCGCAACCAGGACCCCTCGGCTGTCCGGGGCTCCCTCCTGAAGGATCGCATGCTCTCCGGTGGGTGTACGTGCCTTTCCCTCCCACTCCTCCACCCCCCCTCCCTCTCTCTCTCCCCTCCCTCAGCCAGCCAGCCAGCCAGCCAGCCAAAGTCCTGCCCAGGAGCCTCCTCCTTCTTCCTTCATTTCATGTTTCCATTTCTCCAGTCCCTCCTTGTCCTTCCTTCCGTTGTACTTGAGTGTGTCCATCATGTGCGAGTGTTCGTGCCCATACGTCTCGGCGTATCTCTCTCTCTCTCTCTCTCTCTCTGTCTCCCCCCTCCTGCCTATGTGCATATCTGTATGTGTGTGTATGTGTGTGTATGTGTGTGTATGTGTGTGTATGTGTGTGTGTGTCCGTGTGTTTTTGTGGACATGCGTCCTCGTGTGAGTAAATGTCCCTGCATGACCATGCGTCCCTCTCCCCGGCTGTCGCTCTCGGAAGTGAAAGCCTCCTGGTATGTCAGCAGGATACCCTGACGGGCTTACTTGACAATGGGCCGGTGCCCAGTGAATCGGCCCCACCTCCGTCCGATCCTGGTGCCTGGCCGGTTAGGGTTTCCTCGCATGTGCTTATTTCTCGACCTCTCCCTCTCCACACATGTGGATTTGTGGCGAAGCGAGCCCAGTGACATGGCTTGGGTAGGTGTCGCGCCCTGGCAAGCAGGCAATTCCGGCGACATGCTGTGACCGGGCACAGAGGGACTCAATCCCATGGCAAAGAGCGATACAGAGGCCATGTAAAGTGCATGATGGAGTCAGGCCTTGTATGGCCCTCTTCCTTCCGCCTTTGTGAGAGGGAGTATCCCTGTGCATCGCTCAGCTTTCATGCGCGCATCTACATGCGCTCTCTCCTTTCTTCCCTTCTTTCTCCCAGAGTGCTGTGCTCCAACATCGGAGTGGATGTCCCGCGTTGGCTGCACTTGGCGCCTCTCATTGCGGCCCAACTACCTACCTGCCTATCTACCTTTCTTTCCAGTTTCCCTCCTCCCCCTCTCTCGTCCCACCTAGTGATTCAGGCTCCTCGCTCTCGATGTCCTTAGAGCAGGAGGACGCCACGCATGAGGTCAGCCCATCCCTTCAGCAAGAATCGCACGCATCAGCCACAAGCGTTTCTTGCATGCTTCTGCCTCCATGTCCTGCCTTCTTCTCGCCTCCCATCCCCTTTCCCTTCCTCCTCCTCTTTTCTGGCGGCCTGGCATTCTCTCCCTCCTCCTCCCCCCCCCCCTCTCTCTCTCTCTCTCTCTCTCTCTGTTTCTCCCCCCTCTTTTCCATCCAACGCACCTGCCGATCACACCAGCTATTGTTCCCTTGCTCACCCTTTGCCCTCGCTTGCTCTCTCTTTCTCCTTCCCCCTTTCCCTATCTCTTTCTCTCCTTGCATCCATGTGTTGCTCTCCTCCCCCTCCACTTCCTGTCTCTTTCCCCCTGTTGTCTGTCGGTGTCTATGTCCCCTCTTGTGCACACGTACATCGGGTTCCCTGGCTTGCCATGCTGTGCCTTTGCTCTCCTCGATCCCCCTCTTTCCTCCTTCTCTCCCCCTGCCTGTCCTTCGCTTCCTATTCGTCAGTGTCTTTTTGCGAGAGAGCAAATCGGTTTTGGTGATGGCGGTGGTGGTCCAAGTGTCCTTTTCCTCTGCTGTGCTCTGCTGCTGCCGCCTCCTCCCTCCCCCCCTCCCTCCCTCTCTTTCCCCTCTTGCTCCTTTTCTTGGGCATCCAAAGCTGACACTATTCCCCCCCCCCCCCCCACCCCCCCCCTCCGTACCCAACCACGCACACATACGGGCATGCATACGGGCATGCATACGGGCATGCATCGAGGCGGGCCGGCCAGAAGCCACATGCGAGACAGGGGGGACTGTGGAGCAGGGGGAGGAGGCGTCGCGACAATCAACTACATTGGTTGCGTTCCCATCTCCCACGCCTCCCCCCCCCCCCTGCGCGCACCCCTCGCGGATGCAATCACAGCGACAGCCCCAGAGTCGCCGGGTGCTCTGCAGCCTCCCCTGCCGCGCGAGTCAACCGAGCCTGAGCACCAGTCGACACCGGGTTCTCAGGGCGGGTCAACCGGCAAGAAGGCCGGGTCCCTGCGGCTGCAGGGGCTCCTCCTGGACTGGGGTACCATGCGCCAGCGCAAGCCGCGCCCGGTGACCGGCGAGGGCACCGACTCCGGCAAGTACGGCGTGCCGCCTGCTCCGCCGACTGCCGGCAGTCCTGGCAGTGGCCGGGGCTCGGCCATCGGCAACCTCTACAACCCTTCGTCCATGGAGGAGATCACCAACCGCTTTGACAAGAATGGCAAGGTGATCCTCAACCGGCGGATGATCGAAAACCGCTACCAGGTGTCCACCGGCACGCTGGAGGGGCTGATTGATTATCTGGCGGATCTGAACTCCCCCGACTCGATGTTCATCAATGACTTCCTGCAGTCCTTCCGGAACTTCATGACCCCGACGGCACTGTTCGAGCGTCTGACCAACCGCTTCTGGATGCCGGGCGTGGTGATCTCCACGGATCCGGCCCCGTCGAAGCAGTCGACCCTCGGCAAGAAGGACAAGAAGCCTGGCGAGCCGGAGGTTGATGTGGCTATCTGTCTGGACGCGGGGACCGTCATCACCAAGGATGTGCAGGAGCTCATCCGGTTCCGGTGCGTATCCCAGGCCACCGGTGCTCAGCTTCCCCCCCCCCCCCCCACACACACATCCTTCATGCGAGAGAGAGTCCGGCATGCTTTTATCCTGGCTGACCCTCTGTCATTTGTCTGTATATGCTTTGTGCCGACCACCTGCGTCCGCCCTTGTGTCTGTGCCCTCAGTGTCCTTTCCGTGATCAAGAAGTGGGTCGACCGCCACTGGTATGATTTCGAGAACCTCGAGCTGCTGCGGCTCCTGCGGACCTTCGTCACGGAGATTTCCGACCATGGCTTCGGCGTCGTGGCCGAGCAGATCAACATCAAGATCAATGGCATTGTGCGTGTCCCCGGGTCATGTTTTTTTTTCCTTCTTCTCGCGTCTCTCTCCCTCTCCCTCCCTCTCCCTCTCCCTTCTCGGTGTCGACACACTCCCCTTCTGTCCGTGGCTATTTTCAACTGACCTTTCCCTGCTCCCTTCGCCTTTTCCTTCCTTGCACATGTGTGCGGCCTTTGCCTCGACTCCTCGGCCTCCTTCCCCCCCCCCCCCCCCTGTCCCTCGAACAGCCCCGCCTCCGCTCCGAAATGATGCGCGAGGCTGACCTCAGCTTCGGCAAGATTGTCAACCTGGACCTGTTCTCTGTGACGCCGAAGGAGCTGGCCCGGCACCTGACCATGGTGTCCATCGCCAAGTTCAATCGCATCATCCCGGACGAGTTTGCCATCCTCCTCTGGGGCTCCAAGGAGGAGCGGGTAACCATGACGCCAAACCTGACGCACTTCATCAATCGCTTCAATGACATTGGCTATTGGGTGGCCACCGAGCTGTGTCGGGTGGAGGACCTCCGCCGGCGGGCCCAGCTGATGGAGATGTTCATCCAGGTGGCGCGGTATTGCCTGAAGTACCAGAACTTCAATGACCTGATTGCCATCCTGTCCGGGCTTCAAACGATCCCGATCTACCGGCTGCGCAAGACCTGGGCCGCTCTGTCTCAACGGTCGCTGAACCTCTTCCGGGAGCTGGAGGCCAAGGTGTCGCCGGACAACAACTACAAGGCCTACCGGACGCTGGAGTACAGCGCCCCGACGCCGCGCATTCCCTTCTTCGGCTTGTGCCTGAAGGATCTCACATTCATGAACGATGGTAACCAGACGATCCTGGTCAATGGCATGATCAACTTCGAGAAGTACCTGCTGGTCATGGGGAAGATCATGGAAATTCGCGTGAGCCAGGAGAGCAATTACAACTTCCCCAAGAATGAGTCGCTTATGGCCTATTGCGATCTGCTGCTCCACGAGTCGGAGGATGAGCTGACCGACAAGTCCTACGTGCTGGAGCCCTCGACTCGGCCCATGCGGCGGGTGTCGGTGTCCAGCGTGTCCAGCTCGCAGAGCACCGCCAGCGATGCGACCACCGTCGCGCCGAGCATCTACTCGGCGACCGATGCCTACCCGGGCAGTGATGATACCTCGGCCAGCAGTGTGATCCTTTCCTCTTCGGCATCGTCCATTTCCAGTGTGACTTCCTCGCCGGCGTCTGGCGCCCCGGCGCCCATCTCCTCGGCTGCTGCCAACCAGGCCGCCGGGGCTGATGACTTGTCCTCGAGTTTGTCGTCGATGTCACTGCGTGGGGCTGACACTTCGAGCGTTGACGGCGGCGCCAGCATCCTTGGCACCAGTGACAGTTCTACCGGCGCCTGGTAAAATGCGGCAATTTCCTTTTCTCTCCCTCCCCCCCCCTCTCCCTCTCTCTCCTCCTCTCCGCTCCTCCCCTCCTCCCCTCCTCCATTCTTCTCCATCTCTTCCTCCCTCCCCCTCCCCCCGACTGTTTCCCCTCTGTTGCATGGCCACATGCCGATGTACTGTTGCGACGCGTGTGTGCGAGACGAAGTGGGGGAGCATCAATCGGAGGAGGGGGAGCCTCTCTCTCTCTCTCTCTCTCTCTCTCTCTCTCTCTCTCGACTCTGATACGCGCATACGCGTGTATCGTGCGCCCATGCTTGCCCATAAACATTCAAACACACAGATATCCATTTCCCCCTTCCTTCCTTCTCGTTGCGTGTTATGGTTATGTTGGTGTGTCGCCGTGTGCCATACGCCCCTCCATATTCGAATGCCTTGCATGCACTCGTGTGGTTGTGTGTGTCCTCTGCATGCCCTCTTCCTTCATTGTTCCTTGTCCTTCTCTCCCTCCCTTGCACTCGGGCGCGTCTCCCTTGAGAGCTTCCTGCCGCGTGCGAGGGGTGAACACCCCCCCTCGCTATTTCCCCTTTCTCCCCTTCGGCAAGCAGGCCGCTGTTGTCCCCCCTTGGCATCCGTGTCTCCTTTGCGGGTGCGCACCACCCACCAAAGGTGGGAGGGGCGGGCAATGGCGGGGGAGAGATGCACATGCGCACATGCGCACAAACGCACATGCGGGCCTGTGTATCCCCCCGCCCATCATCTTCTTACGCAAAAATACACACCTGTCTATATTATTTCTCCCTGAGATTCACTTTCTTCGGTCCGCCTTGTGGTGATGCGCTTCGCCGATTGATATTCTCTGACCCGGTGGCGGGCCTTTGAACGGTCCCGCCCCCCGCCCCTCCCCCCTCGCCCCTGTAGTCCCCGCGGTGGGGGGGGCGCGGGGCGCGGGGCGCGGGGGGGGGGTCTCCCCCACCCGGCCGTCCGGGGCCGTGCCGGCGCGGCGGGAGGACAAAAAGATACCGGGGGCTGGGTCAGATGCGATCAGCAAATTGTCACGCGCGCCGCCCGGCAGCGTACAGGCCGA